CACACCACGTTTTTTGGCTCCTACAATATTATAAAATATTCGAAATTTGGCATTTTAAAAAAAATTCGCAATTCCTTGCTGACTTCAAAGTTTTTTTCTGAAAACAAATGTACTTACCACATTTTTAGGATTTTAAAACAGCCTAAACATGTGTCATAAGTAGTTGTTTTTATATATAAAAAAAAACAAATTAAAAAACTGAAGTGTCCTGCTGACTTTGTTCCAACAAAGCACTCTGTATTATTTAAAAATAGCAATTTTTTTAGTAAAGTTTTACAATATTTCAAGAGTCTAAAAATGGGGTGTGGTTTTTAGAAAAAAGCTTTAAAAAACCGAATTGCTCTGCTGGCTTCTTTCGAAGGTTAGCAAGCACCATGTATTTTTAAAAATATAATATTTCGAGTGCATAAATATATGGTGTTGCTGTTTTTAAAGAAAAAACTTGATAAAACAGAGGTGCTTTGCTGACTTTGTTCGAAGCTATAGAGCATTTTAAGTTTTGCAAAAAACGAGGAGCATAAAATTTTTGAAAAGGGTATAAAAATAGCCTAAAAATATGGCATATTTTTTAACTCAAAATTTCATAGGTGCTCTGCAGCATTCTTTGGTATCATAATTATTACTAGGTTCACTAACAAAATCTGTTTCTAGATTATTTTAACACTTGCTGCGATTACAAAAAATGTCTATATGTCAAAATTAGAAAAAAAATATTTATAGGAATAAAGGGCCTTATACACTGTTTATTATATGTAATATAAAAACAAAAAAGCATAATAAATATTACAAACCTTGACATGCAGCATATCCTAAGTATATTGTGCACTAAAAATTTCATTTTTGTTAATTACAACAACCTCATCAGAAGGTTTTTGCCGTACTTTATGTTTAGGTGTAATTTGTCTCCTTCTCTCTTATGGAAAAAGAAATTATCCCCATATTCTTGCTTGGCAGATCTAAAAATAAAACCGGAGATAAATATGTTTTACTTGCTCCATATAAACTGTAACTACCTACTATTAAAACAAAGTCTTACCTTTCTGAATTTTGTAAACTGAGTATTGTTAAAAAATGCAGTAATCATATCGGTAATCATATTTTCGTTTACAATGGGTAAAACACTTGATTCAACTTTTATAAATCCAGCTGATTTTCATATTAATAATAAAATTAAACCAAAACAAAAAACTAAGGTTAGGTGGTGTCAATTTTAATGTCACTTAGATGTGCGTTCACTTCGACATTCTGTTTGTCGGTTTGTTCGTTGGCTTGGTTTTGTATAACAAAAAAAACTTCGACAGAAGATGATTGGTCTATTCCCGATGACGTATAATTTCAAATTTTAAATTTCAATTGGGCTTAATTTAAAAACTTTTGGCTTTTTTAACGAACTGACTATTTAGAATAACTTGTATAGCGACTAACTATTACAATATAATTTATAAAACAGCATATCTCACATGTGAACATGGCCCATTGTAAGACTCTTTTTTTAAATTGTTTCTTGCCTTTGCAGACGTGAGAGAGCGTGATACAAGTAAGCGTTACGACTGATACTTCTGATCTTTTAAATGGAATTTACTATACAGGGTTGGCGTTTTTAGTTTCTTTGATTCATATATCATTGTTGAAGATTTACTTGTTTGAATATTACTTAATTAATTGGTTTGACCCTCAGGGACTGGACTAGCTTTATGAATTAGTATAAAATGTTGGATGTATTTCCAACAATACAAATATAAAATGTGATTATACTGAATCAAAAAATATTTTTTTTAAACAAAATATAATTCAATATTTTTGAAAAGAGTTCTCACAACATGTGAGGTTCGTCTCATCGCATTATCTTGCGAACAAAATTATTTTAACGGTACAACATTTGACTATTTCAAAGTGTGTTATAGTATCCCAATTGTTTTTGGTAACTATTAGTTATTTATGTTTCAGTACACACCGTATTGACCCTAGACAAGGAAAGAGAGAGGACGCATGAAAAGTATATCAAACACTCGTGGTATTTTGTGCTGATTTTATCGACTGGTCGCCATTATTTTTTTTTATTACTGATTTTTTTAAAGATTTCTTTGTCGATGTCAATGTTAAAGAGGGAAGTATTCAATTGGAGTTCTTTACCTATATGATGCACTTCCTCTTAAAATGTTTATTAAGTCAAACAGAGATGTAGGCTAGGTTTAGATTGAAGATGAGTCTGATGATAACAACTCCATCCATTGCAACCCAAAAGGACCGATTGTAGCTCATGACTAAGTTACAAATCACAACTTTTAATGACGGCAATGTTGAGTTGTCCTCAGTCCCGTAATACGCATTCTTACGTTATTTCAGCGAGACTACACAGGGCCCTGGAAAAAGGGAGAGTTGATATAGTTATGGCATTAAAGAAACCAAATGGAAGCTTCACGGAGAGTGAGGAGGAAAGAGCTCGCCTCTTACTCGAAACTCACTTTCCTGGAAGCACACCTTTTCTTATAAGGGACACAACTAAGGTAAGCAGGCCCCCAAGAGAGGCCGCTGTAGTGACCAAACACATATGCAGCAGAAATCGGTTAAAGTGGTTCGTAAACACTTTTGAACCGTTTAAGTCTCCAGGTGTGGATGGAATATTTCCTGCCCTGCTTCAGCAGGCACAGAAGGAATTACTATCCCGGAGCAGACTGGAGCTGGAATATATACCAGAAGCATGGAGAAGGGCCAGAGTCACCTTTATTCCAAAAGTAGGGAAAAGGATACCACACATCCTAAATACTTCCGACCAATCAGCCTCACATCCTTTGTATTAAAAACAATGGAGAAGGCTGTTGATAATTATATCAGAACGGAAGTCCTGGAGAGGGTGCCACTCCACCACAGCCAATACGCGTACCGAGCAGGAAGATCTACATAAACTGCCCTTGTTGACTGACGTAATCCAGGATGTACTGACAAACAAAGAAACGGTTGTGTGTGCCTTCCTAGACATAGAAGGAGCTTTTGACAACACGCCACACGAATCTGTAAAAAGAGTACTTATATACAGAGGAGTAGATAACATCACATCCAGATGGATGGCTCAGCTGTTATCTACAAGAACTGCAGAGACAGATAGGGCAAGACAACATCTCCGTCTGCACAACCAGAGGATGTCCACAAGGAGAAGTTCTATCCCCACTAACGTGCAGATTGACTGACCTCGGCATACCCTGTCAAGGTTATGACGACGACATGGTCATATTTGCTAGTGGCAAGTTTAGTAATATCCCAACAAGGACTAGAACATACCAAAAGATGGTGCCGTGAAGTGAAACTTAGTATAAACCCTACAAAAACAACACTAGTAGCCTTTTCAAGAAAAAGAAAGCTTAATCTCAAAACCGTTAAATTAGACGGGATAGATATAGAATGGAAAAATGAAGTCAAATATCTAGGCCTAACCCTGGACAACAAACTTCTCTGGAACGCACATGAGAAATAAGTAGTAAATAAGGCCACAAAAGCCCTAATGGTATGCAGAAACATTGCAGATAAGTGATGGGGATATAACCCAAACATACTGCGATGGATGTATACTGCAATAGTGAGACCAATCATCACTTACGGGGCTATAGCCAGGAGTAACAGAACTAGTTTAGCTACTACGAGAGCTAATAGCTCAAAAGTATAAAGAGTAGCCTGTGTTTCCATTACTGGTGCAATGAGAACCTGTCCTACGGCCGCAATGGAGATGATCTTAAACCTAACCCCTCTACATTTGATGATAGAGAATGTGGCAAAAAGAATACGATATAAAATGATCAGGAACGGAGTAATTAGACGAAAGTCTACTTGCTTCAGGACTAAAGATACCTGGGACATGCCCCAGGATGAAATGCTAAACAAGTACAGTTTTGTGAAAAACTTCAAAACCACAGAGCTGGGCTGCAAGAAAGAATAGAGCCAAGAATCCATCGCGCTTGCAACCGAAAGACGTACTATTCAGTGGTATACGGACGGTTCCAAAACCATAAAAGGAACTGGAATAGGAGTGTATGGGCCGAGAACCAAGCACTCCGAAAGCTTGGGAAAATACCCAAGCATCTTCCAAGCGGAAATTCACGCCATCGAGAAGTGTATCCAGTTTAAAATCGAGAGAAACTATCATAGACAAGAGATTATCATCATGTCCGATAGTCAAGCAGCCATCAAAGCGCTGAGCTTTTACGTAATCAGCTCAAAAATGGTCTGGAGATGCCTAGAACAATTGAATGAGCTAGGCGAGAAAAATAAGTTATTCTCACTTGGGTCCCGCGACATAACGAGGTACAGGGTAACGAGATTGCAGATAGTCTTGCAAGGAAAGGGGCTCAAACGCCCTTTGTAGGACCTGAGCCGTTCTGCGGTATCAGCAGTAACATAATATTAGGAGAGATTAAAAAAGAATTGAGCAGTAGAAGAACCAATAATTGGAACAATCTCTTGGGGCTGAGACAGGCCAAGACACTTCTGGGTGAATATAACTAGAAACGATCGGAAGCCTGCATCTGCCTGAGCAAGAACAGACTACGTATTGTAACAGGGATCCTTACCGGGCATTGCCGACTAAAAGGACACCTAAATAAACTGAGACTAGTAGAGGATAGTGTGTGCAGATTCTGTGAGGAGGAAAACGAAACCTGCATTCACATCCTAACTGAATGTGTAGCACTCCAGAATCCAAGGGCACTACATCAAATAGAAGTGGGAGATTTACCTAACTTGAAGCCACTTCAAATCCTACACTTCCTTGAAAAAATAGGATTGGAAGGGTCGTTATCGGCATTGAGACATTTTCTTAGTGCATTGGCGATAGAAGAAGGCACAATAGATCTTTTAGGTCGCAGTGTATTAACATTCTATTTTCAACATAACAACATAATAATTTATTTCAGGATCTTAGCAGATAGAGTTGGGTAGAAACGTATTCGAATAAATTAGCCCTAAGATATATCTACAATACATGATGAGGATGTGATGCATTGACTTACTTCCTTTCAACAAGAGTCTGCGTAGGAAACCATCCTTGCTTCCCCTTCCAGCAGAATGTGAAGAAATGGTTAGTTTCAGGAAACTTTCCTTATATCGGTGCTCCAATATGTGGCTAATACTTGATACCATATGATTTGCCGCACATCCTTTTCTGATACTCCAGAGAGATACTCTCTCCCTATTAATCGCATTAACCAGTTAAGAATTCCAATTATTTAACCTCCCTTACAAAGGTAACAGTTTCCTTAGCCTAAATATAGTCTAACAAAGACAAGATTGTTTAATTTTTTATTGTTACAAGGAATAGCTTTAACTGTTTCAATACGATGTTTATTATTTACCGCTGATTACATTAGAGAGAGATCTTAAAGGACTATTAGCCACTTTTATAAAGTACAAAAGCGGTACACCCCAGAAAGAAAAATATAAAATTGCTAGATTCGTGGGTGATATATGACGAAAAGTTTTTTCCAACTGCGCAATGCCAATAAGGGGAGTACCTCTTATCGAATTCCTTTTTGACATAAGCTGCTATATCTCTTTCGAGGGTGTACAAATACATGGCTTGCATGGCTAAATTAATCGCGTCTTGCTGCATGCGGTCGCACATATCAGCACTTTTTACGCACGCTTGGGGACAGCACGGAGGAGGTAAACATGGTGGTATGCAGCACGGTTGTGGTCCTCTGCAAGCTCCGGAGGCCATTTCGAAGCACTAAAATTTAACTAGTTTTTGAAAACTTATTCGTCTAAATGATGTATGAAATGACATTGACTGGGCTTAAAGATTCGATCAATTCGATATTTTCTTGGAATATATGTTCTAAGGATATTTTAGACGGCCGTGTTCACGGTTCGTAGATTTAAGAACTATGAAGACTAACCCACATACTTTTATTGTGGACTAACCCAAGAGAATTTTCAATTTTGTTGGCAATCTATTTAACTATCTATTTAATTGAACCTGTCAATGTTAGAGATTTCATGTTAATCTTTAAGCCTTAGTTATATTGTTTTTATGTACTGTTCGCTAGTTTTTGACTTTGATGTAATGTCGTAAAAATAAAAAGTTGTCAAAAGTAAAAACGGTATATTTTTACATTAAAAAGTAAAGTCTTTGGATAACAGTGGCCTAAATACTTTCCAGCGATAGCGACTCTCCTACAGGTTATGGGCCCAGAAGGAATTAATTTAGAAAATATGTAGTCCCTTCCTCCTATTACCAAATTAGTAGGACGGGAGAATTATCAAGATTGGAAGTATGGCATGGAGTTGTACCTGAAAGATGTACCTTGAATGTATGGAATGCTGTTGATGGATATCCTCCTGATGACAAAACTGATGAGGCTACAAGAAATAGAATGGTTATGCCTTGTTGTTATCCTCATATTAGGAGTTGCAAAACTGATAAGGACATGTGAGGGAATTTAGAAAAAGCTTTTGAGGATAAAGGCTTAAATAGACGAGTTCTTTTGCTTCGTTCAATGTGCTCATTGAGATTAGAACATTTCACGTCTATGGAAACTTACGTGAATGAGTTTATGTCTATTCAAATGGCTCTTGCTAGTATGGAAAAGCCCGTAGAAGACGAGTTTCTTGGTGCTGCACTGTTAGCTGGTCTACCTTCTGATTATGACCCTATGAGTATGGCACTAGAGAACTCAGGAGCTAAAATAACGAGTGATTTTGTAAAAACGAAGTTGCTTCAAGACACTCATTGGGACAATAAACAAAATAATTCTGAATCTGCGAAAAGAAGAACCAAGGAAATATCAAATGTTGGGGGTGTGGTGAAGTTGGACATGTAAGGCCCAATTGTCCCAAGAAAAGGGCATCGGTTGCTAAGCCAGACGGAGACAAATCAAATTAGCAAAAATCTCGAGTAGCGGCATTTGGCGTTAAAGTCTCCAGCGGCGATTGGTTTGTTGATTCCGGTGCTTCCGCCCATATGACTTTCCGCAAAGATTGGTTTTCTGATTTTAACAACTGTACAATGAATAATATTGAAGTTACTGTTGCAAATAATTGTAAATTATTTAGCGAAGGCGTTGGTAATGTGCCAATAAAACTGAAAAATGAGAATAGCATAACAACAATTACAGATGCTATATTTGTACCTGGTATACATGTAAATTTATTGTCTGTAAGCAAGTTAGTTTCTAAAGGACTAGTTGCTGTGTTTGACTCTACTGGTTGTAGGATAATAAAAACCGAAAATTGTAAAATAGAAGGAACAATTTTTGCTGCAGCATCGAATGTAGCTGGTATTTATCGATTGAACATATCTGACGATGTTTCTAGTATTCCTAGTCAACCTTATTTAGCTGTAAATAATGTAAATATTGATTCTCATGAGTTGTGGCACAAGCGCCTATGTCACTTGAATAGAAGTCTATGAAACTATTAAAAATTGGCTTGACAATTGGTATTTCTTTTTCCGATGATAATAGTAATGTCTGTATATCCTGCGCCGAAGGAAAGATGCCCAAGAAACCTTTCAGAAATAGAAATAAAAGAGCATCAGAGAAACTGGAACTTATTCATGCAGATCTTTGTGGGCCAATGCCTGTGCCGTCCTGGAGTGGAACAAATTATATGTTTACCCTGATAGACGACTGCACTAGAAAAATATTTGTCTATTTTTTAAAGACAAAAGATCAAGTTTGTTCAACTTTCAAAGAATTTAAAATAATGATTGAGAACCAAACGAACTTGAAGATCAAAAAATTAAGGACTGATAATGGTGGTGAGTTTGTCAATCATGCTTTGACTGAATACCTAAAGAATAATGGCATTTTGCATCAGTTGACTATACCGTACAATCCCCAGCAAAACAGGATTGCTGAACGAGTTAATAGAACTGTAATGGAAAAAGTTAGGTGTATGATGCAGGAAGCAAAGTGTGACAAAAGAATGTGGGCTGAGGCTGCAAATACAGCTGTTTATATTATAAATCGTTCACCACATAAATCACTTCCTAACATAACTCCTGAGGAAAAATGGACAGGTGAAAAAGTAAATTTAAGTCATCTGAGAGTTTTTGGATGTGTTGGTTACGTCCATATTCCAGATCAGAAGCGAAATAAGTTAGATGCTAAAAGCAAAAGAATGATTTTCGTTGGTTATAAAGAATCAGGGCATAGATTTCATGATTTGGCCAACCTACAGAAAACCACAAGGGCCAGAGATGTTGTGTTTTTAGAACATGACTTTGGGTTAATCGAAGAAAAAGGTGATATACCGAGTATAACTCATAATGTACCTAGTATACCCATTTACATATTTGAAAACGTTTCTGAACCTATAATTTTAAAAGAAAATCTGACCCAAAATACTGGAAACTTATTTTGCGAAGGGGAACAAACCGAAGAAGAAGGAGAAGAAGAAAGGGAGTTAGAAATTATAACAGTTCAAGAAAAAAGATATCCAGTAAGAGAAAGACACAAGAAAAATTTTGATGATTATGTAACTTATTACACGGAAGCTGATGATATTGATGTTGAGCCTAATGAACCAGACAGTTTAGTAAATGCTAAGACAAGAATAGATTGGAAAAAAATGGAAAATTGCTATGGAAGAAGAATATCAAAGCCTTCTTGAAAATAAAACATGGACACTAGTCGATCTACCTCAAGGTAAACGAGCCATTAAGTGTAAATGGGTATTTAAGTTAAAAACGGATATAAACGGAAAACCCAAATATAAGGCTCGACTAGTAGCAAAAGGTTTCACTCAAATTTATAGTGTAGTCCAATGAAATGGTTGCTGATATATTTACCAAAGGATTATCCAAACCTAAACATTTAAAATGGGTCAACGGGCTGGGGCTTGAAAGTTTTTATGGCTTATGATTAAGGGGAAGTGTTAGAGATTTCATGTTAATCTTTAAGCCTTAGTTATATTGTTTTTATGTACTGTTCGCTAGTTTTTGACTTTGATGTAATGTCGTAAAAATAAAAAAGTTGTCAAAAGTAAAAACGGTATATTTTTACATTAAAAAGTAAAGTCTTTGGATAACAGTGGCCTAAATACTTTCCAGTGATAGCGACTCTCCTACAGTCAAATCACCAGGCCTACAGGGTTGCCATATTATAACATGTCAAAACCAACTGTAGCTATTTTGAAATACCTAATAACATCACTAGCTCGAGTTTGACATATGATGTAAAAGTGTAATGCAAAGATGCAGAAACTTTTAGTATCGTCATAGCACCTTCTCTTAATTCTATCTTAATAATTCTAAGTGTATTCTTACCTTAGATTATCCCTTTGATTCTTACATAGTTGTCAAAATATTTTAATGTTAATTTCAAAAATGAAATGAGACGATGTCATTGTTATGTTTCATGATTTCTGTACACATTTAACTGACTAGGAGACTGTATCGTTTTCTATTAAATACAATATTTATCTTTCTTTCGTCTCAAGATGTCACATTTTATGGAAATTACAACAAATAAACAAATTTAATGCACACAAATAATAAAAAAACTTTTAAACAGTGAAAAATTATGAAATGAATGACATAAGCTTTATCCCAACATCTCACAAAACCGTAATATTACGGTCATCGTCATGCGCAGTAAATAAAAAACGTTCGACTTTGGGCTTTATTGATAGGTTTTTATTTACTGCGCATGACGATGACCGTAATATTACGGTTTTGTGAGATGTTGGGACAAAGCTTACATTACTAGCAACTGACTGAACCAGAATAACTTTAGACTTACAACTGACTCGTAAACGCACCAGCAGCATGGGCGTCGTTACACAATTCTATAGGGAGGGGCAAAATTTTGAAAAAGTTTAGAATGTTTGTTGAAAAACAAAGAAAATGAACAATAAAAGAGCGATACAAATTAACAAAAGTTTCTAATAAATAAAACAATTCAACGAAAAAGACAAAAATAGAATAACCCGACAAAAAAGATAAAAACAAAAACACATATTTTTACAAAACAAACATTTTTAATTTCTTCTTCCTCTACCAAAAATAATCGATAACAGAAAACATGATTTCTTTTTAGGTTTTGCAATTATTTTTCGATGTACTCTCATCATTCAAAGCCCAGTCAGCCTATTTTCATTCTTTATTCGCTCTGTGCGTGACAGCAGCGCCAACAAATTTATGAACTAACGAACGATATTTGCGTATACTGGCAATACAATTTTTAACAGAATTCGTAATTAAAAAATATATATGTTGATTTTAATAAAAGTATATGGATTTGTAAAACAAGTGAAAAAATTAATTATTATTATATATTTTTATTACTTCAGCTAAAAAAAGTAGTATAATCAATAAAAACAAAGATTTACCTTTTTACAAAAGTTAGTAATTTAAATTTCTTCTTATATTTTATACTATCTTTTCATTTCAATCTATATTTTAGGAATAGGAATGGAATATCAAAAAAATACCAAAAACAAAGCAATTAGAAAATTTACAATTACTGGTAATTTTTATGGGATATTTAAAAAATACTTTAATTTAATGAAAAATCGTTTTTTATAAATTATCAAAAAACGAGATGCACCAGACAAGTAGTCGGAATAAATAAAATTGGCAGTGTACCACGAGAAGTAGCGAAATTTTTAAAATTAAAAAACCCAAATTTGTATATTGGGCATTGTTTCAGATGATCGTGTGCAACAATACTAGTCGACTCAGGTGAAGACATTACCTCTTTGATGCGGCATGGAGGC